TTAATTCTGAGAAGATGACAATACATTATAAAACAAAAACAAACCGAATTTATTTCTACTTGCTATGCGAACTGACATAATTGAATATGGGCTTCCAAGATTAACACTCCAATAAGGACCATTAGGCTCAATTATCTCATATGTTATTGTGCACGAGTTATTGAACAAATCTCCTCCGCTGTCCCATCCATCCACTGCTTTGTCAGATGTGTAATCACTGTTGTAGTCTGATGACTGTGACGTCTTCCTCCACAAAGCGACATTCCGTCCTTGAAAAAACAATGTTACCTCAATAAAACGAAAAAAAAATATCAAAATTCTTGTCTTAGAGTTGCTTTTCATAGAACTTGTACAACATGAGAGAAAATAGTATCCAAATAAATTTCTTGTGTGGTTTATTAGACTTGATGAACTACAGCTGATGTTTGAAATGAATTCTCAAGAGGAAAACATCTTGTAATAAATAATGTTTTTATGGTCTAATCATTCACCATTTCAATAGTCTCATTTGTTGTTGTAGAAAAAAAGGGTCTTTGAAACATATCTTTAGTGCAAAAAATTTGTTATGTGAAATTTTCTAACTGAATTCTTAGATCAAACGCACATTATTAAGAATATTTTTGGCATGATTAGGAGTCTATTAATCGTGTAACTTGAAGCTTTAAACAAAAACGTTTTATGTTCCTTCTGAATATATATCAATGGGTATAGAACACATTGTGAACGTATTGTGAACGCAGCAAGCGCAGTGAGAACGCTGTGAACACGAGGTGAAAACTCCTAACACGCCGAAGCGCAGTCAGTCACCAAGAGATTTCCATGGGAACGCAGTAAAACGCTGTGAGATCGTTGTAGAATCGCGTCCGTCGCCGTAAGGACGCCATGATATCTTCACATTGTGAAAATTTTACAGAATTTTGAGCAATTTCCCTGCGATTCCTCGGCGATTTTAAAAATTTAACAACGCCCTTAAGTCTCTGTGTGAACGCAGCTTGGTGTGACAGGGCCTTAATAAGCAAAACAATATAATAAGAAATAAGATAATAAATAATAATGAAAAAGATCTTAGTCAATATAAAATGAATATTCTAAGAAAATACCTCTGCGTCTTTCGTATATCAAATATTTTGGCTGTGAAATCTATTTTTTCAATAAAAGAAGTTTGCAATTGATAAGTGATAAGATATGCCATTTATATATATAAAAAAATCTAACAGTTAAATGTATGATAATTTAGCTACATTGACAATAAAAAGGGATATTTTCATGTCTGAATTTATTTTCAAAATAAACATATAAGAATAAAAATAAAAAAAATAAACCTCCATAAACTTCTATTTCAGATACGGTTGTTTGTCGTGTAAATGAAATATTTAACATTCTTGTTCTCAGAACATAGCTGCAGAATACAAGAGGAGTGCCTTCTTTAATTGGTCCGATGAAACATGTCTCGTTATTTAGAGATTTGATGGTTACGTTGTTTGACGAAATTGCTGTAAAAAATCCAAGCAGAAGAAAAATAAATCATATTTACCATACAAATTCGTTGGATATTGGTTTTAACTACACGATTTAGCCATGTAAAAGATTTCAAGGCAATAAAAAATTTATTTATTACCATGAATATTTAAAGCAGAAATTATAAAACTTCCATAGAAATCGATCCGTATTCGTTTGATGTCCTCAGATGTGCTCAAGTTCCCATCAAGACTTGGCCTGGTGGATTTCTTTTTATATGCTAAATTTACTGGAAACAAAGACGTAATTCATTGGAAATAAAGATATTCCTTTAAATTGTATATCGTATTATAGATAATCATACTTGTAATTGCATATTGGACTGAAGTCTTTCAGGAACTTCTTGATATCTTGAATGAATATTTACATAGCAACACACCAAGAGATTTGGGGAACAATCCTTTCTTTATTTTCACTTTAAAATATTGATATTCACATCATTGTTTGAATGATTTTTATGTGTGCAATAGGCATTTTTGTATTTTTTTTTTCTTTTTTTTTGGTATTTAGTATTATTGGCTAGTCTCATATAATAAAAAAGTCTGTAATATTCTTGGAATTACAATCATGGTACTAAATTAAGCAGATTTTTTTTAAAAAGTAACAGATTATTTTGATAAAGAGGAAAAACACAACATGTAATAAGCGTTTTCTGCAGGGAAGGATTTCAAATCCGTTATAATTTGTCACAAAAAATGTCAACAACAAAATAAGATTTTAAAATTCTTGTCAAAAACTTGATAAGGGACAAAATAAACAGAACTGTGTGGTGATATATCAATTAATGTATCTTAAAATATCCGGGTCTTAACTTTGACATAAATAAGTAAAGAAGACATGAGGTATAAAAACCAGAAATTTCCTGAATATGTGTTCAATCTGGCATTTTTTAAAACGTAAAATACATTGATAACAAAATATTATTAATCTCACAAATCTAGGGAAAAAAACCAATCAAGAGCAGTGCCAATAATATCCTGAAAACACCAAAGGTCGAATCAGGTGACTTAGAGTAGTAAGCATACCCTGTTAATCGTCCAGATCCTCCATGGGTACTATGTATTAATCAGATATACGGAGAACTTCATCAAATTTACAACAAAAACAATGATCTAACAAATAACGTCAAACCTGTCAGACAAAAAACGATTAAGCAGGAGGTAGCATTAACAGGCAATGCATATATAATCTTTAGTATTCAGAATCAATCATTCCTAATTCATAAATAATTTAAACTGGTGAGTATGTCCAGCAGTTATTCTAAAATCACTTATTTAAAGTTAAAAATTATCAAATTACATGCCGCTGTGTATTACTTATTGTGAAAGTCTTTGGTCCATATTTGCTTGGAATTATATATGAACATTGTTGGCAGAATAAACATGACGAGGACATGTTTACATGTTCAGGAATATTTAGTTGAGTCAAAAGTTTGAACTTAATCATGAGGAATGAAGTTGATGCCATAATCCCGATAAATGCCACAACTGCATTTTCCAACAAAACGAGGAATTTTAATGATGTCTTATTTCATAAAATTAAAATGATTAACAAGGACCATCGAAACTTATAAAACAAATAGCAGATTGAATATTTTAATTGGTATCTTAAGCCTCATGCAGAATTGTTCAGTTTATGGGATTTAATTAAAAAAGGAGTCAGCTGTAATACACCTATTGATGAAAATTTTCCATTTAAACTAGATAAGTATACTTGAATGTGAGGAATTGGCCCGCTACACAGACAATAAAAACGCTGATAAAAATAAATGTACGAGGGCCCTGGTATAATTTGTAATATAATTTTAGTGTTTGGAGATGGCCTTTTCTCTTTGATGTCCAGTAAATGTCCCCCAGTTAATGCCTGATAAATTTCAACAGTTGGCATGGAAATGGTATGGTTAAAGCCGTTATTAAATTTAATTTAAAAACAAAAAATATTAAATATATACAAATACGTTGTTGTCACTAGGATTTCAACAATCCGGTTGTTCATAAATAAAACATATCGCTGTGTTCATACTGAAGAGCTAGGTTCACTTTATGCATAAAATGACCCTGTACTTAAATCAATTAATGAACTGTTATCCTCTTTACCATTTCTTATATCGAAATAAAGGAGAGACTTGGTACTTCAATTTCCTATAATAGAATTTCTTTTTGAGATTCCAGATATTGGAAAACAGGCTTTGAGAAGTTGCAATTTTCTTGAAATTTGCAGAAACCATGTGTATTTGACTCCATTCAGCAAAGAATTAAAATATGAGCAGAGCCTACGATCCAAAAAATTAAACATGTTTTTTTTTATCTTTAGAAACAGATCTTTCATTATGCATTTGTATATTTTGGATCTGATGTTGTGCTCTATATGAAATGTTGAAAAAATAGGCCATTTTCAAAGGAATTTACAGGATATGGGGAAAATGACGTATTTTTGACGTCATAATGCATTGACTAGAGGGAAAATTACGTCATGATTAATAGATACGTGGTCAACAACACTCCTAGTTATAAATACTGCATTTGCAATCTAAACTGAGCGGTTCTGATTTTTCAGAAGTCTCAGGGCCAAATAAGACCCTAAGTGGCTCTTGCTCTTAGCCTATAAATTACTCTGTATTTTGACCAGTACTCTGTACTGTTAGTGTGATTGTTCCACAAGAGATGCTGTCTCTACCTATGCACCTGAAGCTACTTCTTGAGTTTTGTCTACCTGATCAACACATGCATGCACTGTAAAGCGGGTTTGACAAGAAAACAAGGGACGCTTACTCCTCCTGGGCACCTAACACCTTTAATATTTCAATGGGTCTGTGTTTTGCTTTGTTCACAATTAATTATTATTCTGTCATTATGAATTAATCACCATTCCTTATTTTCACTTAAGAATTTCAAAAGGTCAATTTGTCTGAGCTTACTATATTGACAGCCTGGTCCCATCCATCCTGGTTCACACTGGTTCTCAGGCCCTAAACAAGCTCCCGTTTTATCATCAAAGGCCTTTTTACAGTGCTCTAGTTTAGTGCAGTTTTTTGTGTTTCCATACTTCCTCCCTAATTGAAACGCACAGTACTTAGCTGTAAAAAGTAAGATCTAAGTTATTTAATCGCTCCATTTTAACATTCTTGTATTCCTCAAGTAATAAATACGTATTATTTAACCGATTTTGAGTGACATATACATTGTTTATCCTTTCAAAGCTACTAGTATGTTATTTTTAAAATGTTATAATTATACTGCAAGAACAATTTGAGTAAAAAGTCAAATCAAAGTAACTCAAAATTATCACTAAAAGTTAAAAAAGAGAAAAATAACTTACCATTAATCAAATGAATGTGTAAAATGGCAACAAAATAGATATAACCAGAAAAGAAGACAGTCACTATGATGACTAGAACAAGAAGGAAGTAAATTCTATCATTTCAATCATCACTGTGTTGCAATGCAAGTGGATGGTACGTAGAAACACCATGTACGTGTAACAGACTTTGAAGTTAATGTGCATTAAAAGTGTAGTATAAATACTTTGCTAGGAAAGGCTTTCAGAGCTTTGTATGAGTGCTTTAGTACTATTCCATAAATTTTCGCTGTTTGTTGTTTAATCTTTTTGAATTTCAGAAAATTTGAACGAAGGATTCCCTTAATTTATAGATTATTTTAAATATATAAAAACTACGGAATATAATCACTTTAAAAATCTTAAAAAGGATTCACTGCATTTGAAATATTGCAGATTCCTTTTTACTCAAACTTTCAACTTCAAGTAGATACTGTCTACTGTAAACAACTTTTATTCGCATGCGAGAAATAAAAGTGAAGTTCGCAAGAGCTTGGTCATCGCGAATATTTCCCGACGCGAACCGGTTCTCAAAGTCTATGTGTCTATTAACAAAAGAACCTAAATAGGCTTGATCGCAAAAATTAATTGTCGCGTAGTTTACCCAAGGTAAATCGCAAAATAATGTCGTCGCGAATAAAAGTTGGTTTATGTTTAGTGCCACAAATTCGATTCATTACATATATTCATCCATAGCCATAATGCTCTCAGTATTCCTCAAGTTCTTTCTACATCAGTTCATGAGAGTTTAAAATGTCTTTAATTTATAAATCTATGAAGAAAACTCTTTTCAAAAATCAGAAAAGAATGAATAGTATATTTGATATACGTTATACGATGTAATGACATAGTGCTGAAAATTCTAGCATTGATCTATTTCCTGAAAATACTTCCTTTTCCGTCCTGATAAATTTATCCCTGTGATATTATTAATTATAATTTATACATTAATGTATTTTTCTGATCGATAATTTTATAGTAATGGAAAATTCTCTTTAAAAAATATAAATAATATTTATTTCCATGGTGTTCGCAATATTATTATTTCAATTATTGATATTTGTATATACTTAAACTATTGTAATCTAACCAATAACTCATTATAAACATAAATGGAGGAATTAAAAAAAACGTAAGGATGTACTTGTTTTTTCCTTCGGCTTAAACAATGATTTGAAATACCAAGCAAGTTTTACAGCAGTTATTCAACTTTTATTTTACTGAAAATCTCTTGTTCATATCTCACAACTGATTCTTTACACTAGCACCTTTTCTGGTAACGAACATTTTTGTAACTGATGAATGCTACTTACGAATAAGTTGACAATACAACAGAAGATAAATATCGTTGGAAGTAAAGAAAATGAAAATAATGCAGTCGATTTTATTGCTTGTTTACAACTGATTTTTATCTTTTTGGCTTTAGTTATTATGGAACATTTTAGAGATTACAGTGGATGGTTGTCCACTTATTTTACCTCTTTGAATTGTTTCTGTATAAAATTATGACGAAGAAAAATGCTATTTTTTCCAAACAGCCCCTACTGTGAAATAGTTCCTGTGCCATTTGCTTTTTTTAAATTAATCATCACACTATTCCTCGGCAGCATTCTGTTTCCTCTCCTTTTAATCACCGAAATCTTTTTGTTTTTATCCATATTATGAATCTGTTACACATATCAATGTACATATTGTCAAATGTGTAAGTCGTAACATAAATAAATTGCATGTTTCATATTACCATAGTAATCTAGCATGTTGACATAAACAAGTCGCATGTCTATATAATTATATTGCCTGTTAATATTAATATGTTGCATGTCTACATAATTATCTTGCACGTGCACATTATTATCTTGCATTTTAACGTAAAGAAGTCGCTTGTCAACATTTTTTTTGTATCTTGCATCTTGTATGTTGTCATGCAGATAATGACGTTAGTGAAATGAAGTAAATTTACCCATACTAAAATTGTTATATTCTCTGATAAAATTAGTAACTTGCATGCTTACATAATTATCTTGCATGTTGACATATTTTTTTCTTACATGCTAACATTATTTATCTTGCATATAGGGGACAGAAATACATGTATGCAGCCCTACGGGAGAAGTGTGAATGTCAAATGCTTTGTTTAATAAGAATCGAGGGAAGTATAAGTCTTCCCTGAAAACAATATATTCTATTATTTACCAACAGGAAAGTATACAACAAAAATGATTCGTTTCTGAAGGAAAAAAATCTGTATTTGAGTCAGGGTTAAATAAACAACCGCGTAAGCACCACTTTATTCTTTCAAAACTTTCTAAATGACGTGTAATAAAAACTAAACCTTGAGTTAGTTGTTTCAGTTGTAATGCCTAACAACTAGACCTGTGAAATTTGAAGATGATAAACAGTGATTGATCTCAAGATCGAAAACACGGACCCCTGGATATTTTAGACGTAGGCCAAGGCGCTTTAAATAGAGCCTGGAGTGTGTATCCCTTGTTGACCTGTCAGATCAAACATTAGTCCTATACTTCGAATACGATGGCAGATGTTAAGAACATAGGAAGATGATTCCGAAATACTACTAAATAGATGATGAACTTGACGATGGAAAAATTGAAGTCTCGATTTCCAAACAATTTAGTTTATAGTTGATCCTAATACAAAATTTGGATTAACATATCTTAATTGGTAAAATAAATTGTCTCATACGCAAAATGTTGTATTGTTCATAACTTATGTAATTTACCATTTAATTTTATTATAATTTCATGTTAAATACTAAAATCTGATTGGTTTGGACGCAGTTAAGATAATTCCACCCTCCTATGATGTCATAGGTTTTTGCAAAAACTGTAATTAGTTTAAATTCATACCTAATAGAACAATATCTCTTGGAAGAATGCTTTACAATAGGTGTAATGATAAATATTGTTAAGTTAAAGAATTTCAAAAATGCATATTTTCTATATTTAATCAATTATTCAACCTTTAAAAAATGTTGACAAGGGCAATAACTCCTTCTAAGGTCTCTTCATTCAGGCATTTGCTTTATTGTAAAATAGTTTCCCTGATATTCACAATTCAAAAGTATCTTTCAAGGAGGAAGTATTTAGGAACACTCAGCATCAGAATTATGCATTTTAACCAATTTTTACATATTTTCATAATACTGTTTACAAAAAATGTGCGATTTTTTTTATGTTGACATACACTTCTGTTTATTTATGTTTTGCATCTTAAATAATATGGTGACCTATACTTTTTTCGCAATAATTGGAAAGTTTAAAGTATATTAAATGAAAATAAATGCAGTTTTTTTACTTTGAACCCATAAAATTGTGAGTGTGGAATCACCTTAATAATCCGTTCTATCACCTCAGCCTTAGCAACACACGTGACAACGGGTAACACAACAGTAATGTCACATGCGTGGAAATTATGCACGTACGGTTCACGGTAGCATTCTCAAAACGTCAGTTGCGCGTTTGAAAGTACCTGAATAAGCTTGACGTCAATAAAAGCTTGCGTCCGATGTAGCAAACTTGAAAACAACAAACGACAGACGAAACATGCTTGCGAGTGCCGAAATAACGAAACCTTAGATTATAAAGCACCCTCAGAGAATCAAATAAACAATAAAGAGGTCAGTAAATCTTTTTTAAAGTAGCGGGGAGTTTGAAAGCTTTCTAAACGTGAACGTAAAGATGATCGACAATTTTTTTGCTGACATTCTAAATCGAGAAGACATTCAGTATAATAAAAAAAAAAATGGTGCCTGTTTTGGAGGGTAACAGTTAAAATTGACACCCCTCGGACAATCATTGTCAACCTTCGCTGACGCGTCGTTTTCCTTGGGGTGGGGTGTTAGTTTTAACTGTTATCCTCCAAAACAGGCACCATTTATATAATGTCGCCCCGAACAAAGTGGGGGGGGGGCGACATATTGCGATTGTACGCATGTTTTTGTTCTCCAGGCTGTTTCTCGGAGATGGCTGGGACAATCTTCCTGAAATTGTTTTCAAAAGACGATCACTAGTTGTAGTTTTGCTGTGTGGTCATTCAGTTTCAAAATGGCTACCGTTGCCAAGGAAGCGTGTGAAAAATAAAGAATTTTGTCCGGAAGTGTTCTCTCTTGTCCTTTGAACATTCATCATGAGACTTTCTTATATTAATGATTAGTAATTGTAGTTGTGCGATTCGCATTTAAAATTTTCAAATTATCGATTGCTGCCATTGTTGATTATTAATTCAATTTTTTTGAGTCATGCAGGCATACGAAAATAATGACGTCGCACCAACGTATATAACGTCGTGATGACAATATACTACTTCTGGTGAAAAATTGTAAAACTTTAAAGTTTTTTTGGAGGAAATTGAGCGAGAACACATACTAATTTTTTTTAATAAATCGATTCTAAATTTAATTCACATTCATTGTATCAAGTAATATAAAATTTCGTCTGCTTCGTTTTAATTTAATAAGTATGGTTTTCAAATGCGTATACCGGCAGAAAAGGGACATTTTACTATATATTTCATTGAATAAGCGTCATCTGTTTCACCAACATTAGCTCATTTGAATTACGATTGCAACCTAACCACGCAGACGAATCTCAAAAAAAATTTCAGAAAGGAAAATTCAAAACGAGAGGAGTTAGCTGACAAATCTTTAGCCTATGTTTTCAGGCAGACAGTACACCCGCGATCTACCTTAAAGGACTGAAACGAGTTGATGGGTGTCCAATCTTCGCTATTGGGTATTGTTTTAGTGATGAAAAAAAAAGAAAGTCTTGCCCAGTTCGGGGCGACATACACTATTGCTTGCAATAGCAGACTTTCTAGTTGTTATTCCTTTCAGGTTTCTTTTGCATTTACTGAGATAGCCAGTTTTAAAGTTATATATGGCGTGACGTATATTAGATAAGTCCAGACTTACTAAAATTAGAATGATCTTTCTATTTGTTTTGTTACTTTATATAAAGATAGAACTTTCCCGTAAATTACACAATTTAAATCAATTGCATTTTATAGATATTTGAGATTTAAAAAAATGACCGACTTATTTCCGACTCGGAATTAGACAAACAGACACAGTTTAGAGTCAGTTTAAATATAGAAACATGGGGATATGTAAATAGCAAATATCAGGTAAATCTACATTTTATTTCGTATTTTTTTAGCTCAGATAAACCATATATAGCTCTAATTGAAAAAAAAAAGCCGAGGGATTTTACAGCAACCACCTCTTCCCCTCCGCCACTTTTATTGGTGTTTCTTACAATTTATATACCGGTATACTTCTTTACTTGTAATTTGTTGCTTATGAGGAACGTATATATATATATATATATATATATATATATATATATATATATATATATATATATATATATATATAATTTGGTGCATTTGCTTTTTTGTGCACTATACTTTTGCTTATTATGTGTTTCTGCCATTATACTATTGGATGAGCTGTTCTTGTGTGTCATATGATTAGGAAGAATTATGTCATGTGCATGTGACTAGTCAGTATGTTTAAGTAGTCATTAACGATATTTTTTGTTTTAAGCCAAGTCAATTAATTGTTGTATAAGTTATCATAGTATGTAATCCGTAGCTTTAGTTGTTTTAGTCATTTGTTCGTTCAAAAAATGACATTTTCACTCAATATTGTGTTTTTAATAATTTATACAAGAGGTTAAGCAAAAACAAGCTGCGAATAGCCAGAATTGTCTTTTCTAATTAAAGGAACAATTATAAAATATGAACTCTTTTGTTTAAAAAAAATCATGAAAGTGGATGGAACAGATGGATCAATGCTTAATTGAAACTACATGTTTCACAGTTTTTCAAATATGATTTCCTTTTTCATGTTTTTTAAATAATGAAATTATTTGAGAAAAAGTCAATGTATATTGAACGTGGTACACAAAAGCTTTTTATTAAGAGTTTTACATAATATTTGCCAATTTCCGCAAATTGCCTGGGCAGAATCAATCAACATCACTTATTTACTTAACAAATGTTATTTTGGTAATATTGTGGACTAATTATAAATATGCTATATATTATAAGGAAAATAATTTCTGTACGTAATCGTAAAAAAAAAATGAAACAGGGTAGAACATAAAGAACGTTCAGAATACACATTTGAAATTCGCAATACGAAATTTAAAATGTGAAATTCAATGTTTAAAATCTAAATAAAGTAATAAGCAGGCAGTTAAGAAACAATTCCTCTCCCATGCTATGTTTGACATTCAAAAAAAAATCCCACACATATAATTTCATGATGAATATTAACCTCATCAAAAACAATTAACTAAAATAAACACTTGGCCCTACACCCAAACTCTAATTTTGTGTGAAAAATTCAAATTAAATAAGACTAATTAATGAGTGATTTCCATCTAGAGGGGTGATGTAGATGCATTAAAGTTGTTAATTGGAAACAAAATCAATTCAATTAAAGTAATGTTGGGTTTCTTCATTTCAGAACCTCAATCTTAAATTGTAAAAAAGCAAAATGACTTGAGTAATTGATTGAATGGTGTTAACGGCAGGTCAATATTACAGCAATATTTTACTGGGTGAGTTGAACGAAGACTGGGCCATTATGTGCCTTTTCGTGTTAAAAGCAACAATTAATGTACTAGTATTAACTGTATGAAGTATTGTCTTGTTATCTAAATGGTTATTATCAATTTAACGTGGACACGATATATTCTGGTGAGCTTGAAATACATGTTAAAGATACCACAGAGTCTCCATGGTCTGACTCATC